AAGGGCCTGCTGAGGTTGGATGGCTTTGAGAGGACAAGGTGACAGAGGCAGTGACTCGGGCAGCCCTCGCCTGCCGGGAGGCCCAGGCCCTGGTTGCTGCTCGTCCTTCCCCGGGAGCTGGACACACCGACCCTGAGTGGGGCGGTGTGAGGGAGGGAGGGAGGGAGGGAGCAGCAGTCCTCATCTGGACCATTCTTAGCACAGGAAGCCACTAATTAATGATGTCATATAGAAAACTACACGTAAAAAAAATATAAAACCCAAATCAACCAAATAAATCAGAGGCAGGCAGGGAAACAGCAGGGGCCGAGTCCAGCCGATTCTGCGTCGGGGCCCGCCCACTCCGAGCCTGGGCTGGATCTTTTTCTAGAAGTGAGAGTAAGAAGGTTGGAAATCTTTTTGTGTACTTTCCTTTTCCTCTGCTTTTGGCCTTTCCTTTCCTTTCTCTTTTCTGTGGCCTTGGGTGCTCTGGCCGTGCGGGCGGGAGGTCAGTTGGCCAGCACGACGGGCTGGAAGGGCTGGCTGGGGTAGGGCATGGCGCTCAGGTTGTAGCTGAGGCCTTCCACGAAGGGGGTCTTCTCCAGGAAGAGGCTGTTGGCGCCACCGCCGAAGACCTGGGCCACGTCAAAGCTGCTGCTGCTGGAGGGGCCGGCCCCGCTGCCCCCAAAGGGGGCCGGGGTGCCGCTGCCCTGGCCATCCGCCCCGTCAAAGAAGAGGCTGGGGGGGCCACTGCCGTTGTACACAAACTCCTTGGCATTGGGCGAGAGCTGGGACTGAGGCGCTGGCGTGGCCGAGACGAAGTTCAGTGAATGCATAGACAGAGAAAGGCTCTTGTGCTTCAGCAGGCTGCTGGTGGGAGAGCGGGCCAGGCGAGGCTGCTGCTGCGGGGGCTGCTGGGCACCCGCCGCGCTGCTGGCCACACCGCCCCCACTCGCCGCCCCACCCCCCTTTTTCATCTTGGTGGAGCCGAACTTGGTGGCAGCGAAGGAAGCAGTGGTGAAGGTGATGGGCTGGGCGGAGCGGGGGATGAAGGTGGGGCTGGGTGACTGGCCGAAGGGTGGCGACGGGGAGCTGGACAAGGAGCTGTCGTGGCTGCCGATGGGCACGAACACCTGCGCCTCGGGGTTAAAGCTGCTCTTGATCTCCTTGTCCAGCTCCGGGGCCACGCAGCCCTCGCTGTCGTCCAGGTACAGCACTTTCACCGGCCCCTTCTCTCCGATCTGGTAGGACACCTCGAAAGGGTCGATCCAGACGCTCAGCTCCTCAGGCACGTTGGCCCGCACATCGCCCACGGCCAGGCCGCTCCGCTTGGCGGCCAGCTCCACCACGGGGTCCACGAGCGCCCCGATGTGGACACAGCGGAAGCCGGAGCCCTTCAGCGGCCTGTCAGGGTACCAGTGGCCTTCGTATTTCTTCTTCAACAGTCGCTCTAGCTCCTCCCCAAACAGGTCTGCCCGGCGCCGGGGCAGCTTGTTGTACAGGTAGGAGATGATGAAGTTCAGGGCCACTTTGATCTCCAGATGCATGGTCCTCTTCGAGCAGAGTCCGTGCAGGGCACGTGCAGAAGCCGCGGGCTGTCAGGAGGTGTGAGGTGTGCAGCTGTGGGGTGCAGACGGCCCTGCGAATGAGAGCGGGATGGTGAGCGGATGCAGGAAGCCAGGGACCGTGGCCCAGGGCAGACGGGGGGCCAACACTGGCCAAGGCCCCTCTGCTCCAGCAGCGACCAGCTCAGCTGTGGCCACGGCCAGTCACGCTTCTCTGAGCGTCGACTCGACAGCTCTGTGGAGACCGTGTCAGTCTGCAGACAGCTGCCGCACACCGCTGCTGGCACGTAGCGAGCAACCTAGAGTCAGCAGCTGTCATTTTCGGGAACTTCTGAAGACCCAGGGGTACTGTGCACCACCAGTTTGAGAATTGGGGTCACTGTGGAGGCCTGGCCAAACCACTGAGGGGAGGGAGGCTCTGGCCAGCCTGCCTCTCCCACACTCTTGGAGTCGTGCTCCCAGGCTGTCACAGACCAAGAATAAGCTTAAAAGCTTGTAACTCGAAAGGGGGACCAGTCACTGAGCAGGAAGCAGCAGCGGGGCTCCAACCGCGGTCACACCCCACTTGTCATGGGGCTCCCCGGCTGGCAGGAGCCATGTCAGAACTGCAGCGTAACTCAGAGCGCGCGCCATCTGGTCTCGGAACAGTGCAAAGAGCAAGGCCCCGGGAAAGCCAAGACCTGTCACAGCAGCAGTGCGGACCGACAAGGAACCACCGCTGGGGCGGGGTGGGGAGGCGCCCAGGAAGCAGAGGAAGGCGAGGGAAGCAGCCCCCCAGGCCAGAGAAGTGCTCAGAGCAGCGCTGGTGGGCCTGCCACCCCCAGCCTCCAGCGGGGCTCCATCATCGCTCAGCCTTCCAGGGACGTCTGACTACCTGTCCTTGGCACTGGCTCTGATGACCCAGCGCTTGGAACCCCTGGAGAGGAGGCAGCCCAAGATAAACACTCAGATTGTTATTTTGGGATTCTCTCACAGCCAGATCCCACAGAGGGCAGAAAGGTCTATTCCCAAGGCCAGGGCCAGCCTCAGGCTCAGGCGGGCCTGAGATCAGCAGCCCTCACTTCTGCTCTTCACAAGGGCCGTCCCCAGACTGGCGCAGACTGGCGCTGGCAGAGCGGGACTGAACTGGCCACCACCTGGAGGGCGGGCCCGCCAGGACCAGGCCCCAGCCAGACCGGGGTTTGGCACCCCCGAGGCAGCTGAGCCCCACCAGAGGCCTGGGGCTGGGTGTCATTACAATCCTGAAGGTTAGCACTGAGCCCCCAGGCTGGGTCCAGCTTGAAACGCGATTGCGCGTGTCCTTGCCCTGTGTACTTGCTGGTTCTCGGCCGCGCTGTGGCTCCTATGGGCATTTTGAGGCCGAGGCCTCAGGCCTAGAGCTCGAGGTAAAGAGCAGAGGAGGCGCACCAAGTCTGGCTGGGACGTCATGCAGTGCTCGGCCTAGTCCCACCCTCATGTCAGGCCGAGGAGACAGCCCGGGTACCGTGGGCGGCCAACTGAGGTGCCTTGAATCCTCTCTTCCAACTCCTCCGCCGGGATGCTCAGGATTCAGGAGACCCCCGTCTCCCCTCTATTCCTGCCGCCAATACAGACTCATCCTGGTTTCCTCAACTGTCTGTTTTATATTTACGGTCACCACAGAACAACTCCAGAGTGCGTCCAGGTTTAAAGAGAAGAGTAGGAGCCCTCTGTCATGAGGACTGGGTCAGCCTCTCCTCAGGAACAGGTTTAAAAGGGCCACAGTGATCCACTAGAAATGTATCTAGGTACATCCCTGAAGCCAGCAAGAAGGCTGGCAGTCATTCCTGATAACGGGTTCAAACGCCGCCCACAGCACCTAGCCCTCTCAGCACGCCACCAGGCCAGAGGGGGCCTGCCTTTCTGGACCGCCTCAAACTTGCCGCCCTTCACATTAACCCTCCCCAAGCAATCCAAGTTGAAGATAAGAACATACTCAATGCGGACACAGTCACTGTGTCCCACCCCGAAATACAACTTCCGCCATCAGCCCCAACTAGCTCAACGCTCCTGCAGCGTAAGTGATCCACAGCTGTCCCCCAACGGGCACCGCAGCGATGCTGGGCGCAAGCAAGGAGGCAGCAACGCCACCTTTGCCTCGTGCCGGGAGCACAGGCCAGGCCAGATGGCTGTGGGTGGAACCTTGCAAAAATGCTGGACAACCAGAATGAGAATTTCTGCTCTGTCAGCTCAGGCTCTAATTTTCACTTCAAGAAGCTGAGGCGCTGGTGCTGTGTGTCTAACTAGAGGAGCGACCGCCAAGAGCATTTAGTGAAAACTGTTAAAGGTCATGGACAAACGCTGGAGCCTAGGATTAAGCTAGAAGGTGGTTGAGATTGGAAAGCTTGGTGTAACGACCCCTCAAAACAAACAAACTCTGTCCTTTCTGATCCTAACTCAGATGGCAAAGGCCAGAAGGAAGGCAAAGGGGGTGTGGGGTGGGCGACACGGACAAAATCTACCTGTTGTCCACACACTAAAGATTTGCAAATGTGAAAGCAAATTCTGTTGTCCAGTTTCACTTAAATCTTATCCCCCTTCACTTACTTCTGGTAGCAAAGGGTTCAGGCCCCTCATGCTGACTAATGTGTTAAAGAGCAAATACTCAAGAGGACAGGCAGAAAGGGCGAGGGAAGGCCACTTGAGGCTGGAAGGGGGCTCCCGAAGATTAGTAACACAGATCAGAGACCTGGTGACAGAAGCGTGGAGGAAGGTTTTAAAGAAAAGTTAGTTTTAAACAGAGGAGGGAGGTGGGGAAGGAAGCGGCCCGGCCAGGCGGCCCTAGGAAACACTCGGGCATCTCAGTGCTTAACACCCAAAGCGTCCTAGCAGCGAGCACTAGAGCACTACGAGGGAGTGGGGAGGGGTCCGGCAGCTCCCACCCCCGCAGGCAGTGGCAGGGCTGGCGGGTGTGGCTGGGGCTTTGAGGACTTGTGCCTTTCCCACCCAGTCTCCCATCATCTCCCCTAACAGGGACTGTGCGGGCCCACGTTTGGCAACAAGGCTCCTTTCCACAAGAGAGCCCTCTCCAGGGCAGCCAGGTGCCCCTGAAGCCAGGAAGGCCCCGCGGAACCCCAAGTCCGGGGAGCCCAGCGGCGAAAAGGCCCGCTCTGCACCCTGGGGCTGGCAGTCCGCGGACACCTCGCGCTCGCCTGAGCAAGTGACCTACTTTCTGGGCACACTGCGGCTCCCAGCATCCTTCGCGACGGCCGCGGACGCGCAGGCCCGGTAAGGAGAGCCGGCCGCGGAGGAACGGGAAAGTTTCCGCTGCACATGCGCGCTGTGGCGGAGGGGGTGCCCCTCCCCCGCCTAATACATTTTATGAAAATTCTAGCCCAGGCCTTCTCCGTATTGTATCGCCGGCTCCGGTCTCAGCCCCACGCGCGCTGGCCTTCCCCCCTGGCCCCCCTCCCGGGCTGCCGAATTAGAGGACCCGCTTTTGATGAGCTTTTCTGGGGGAGCGCGCTGGCAGACAGGGTCCATCCCCGCCCTCCCCCACCCTGGCCCAATCTGTATTCCGGGGGAGGGTGGGCTCGGCCTGGAGTTGCTGGAGGGACAGTGCCCTGGGAGAGAAAAGAGCCTGTTCACTCAAAGCCCAGCGGCTGGCTCCGGCTGGCTCCGGCTCCCCACAGCCGGGAAGGCCAGGCAGGAATCAAGCCCGACGGCCGCCGAAACTCCCAGTTAAGCTGCCCGGAGGCGGCGCCCAGGTCTCACCCTCCCCTAAGTCGGTGAAGCCAGACCGCAGGGAAGGAAGGCGCCGCACGGACACCGGAACGTCCTCCTCCCCCTGCAAGGCCTGCTCGGACCAGACTACCAGGTCCTCGGCAAAGCTCCCCTACAGCAGGGTTTTAAACCTCCCTAATCCTCCCTCCCACACAAGCTTCTTTCCCCCTCTGTTTAAGAGGGGGGCTGGGGACAGGCGCCCGAGAAAGCGATACGAGTGTTTTTCTGCTGGAAACCCAAGGTGAGGGGCCCCCTCTCGGGCAGGGAGGGCAGGACAGAGAGAGAAAACAAGGCTCGCTCTGAGCGGACACTGGACATCCCCTGGCCTGGCCCAGGCTGGACCCTCGGTGCTGGGTTCGGTGCCTGGGGGTGGGGGTGGGGGCTGCCAGCGGCCCCTCCTTTCGGCTCCCTCCTTCCCCTCCCGTTCTGGTCAAGGGCACAGTCCATCCTCTGGACTGAAGGGAAAGCAACTTGGGGCCCGGCTTTTCCTCCCAGGCCCCGGCCACGGCCACGACCAAACAGATTCGATCTGTAATGGACCTAAGGCTACTTCTCCCTGCCCGTTTCCCCTGAAAAGCCCACAGAGAATAAAGAGCTCAGGGAAAACGGTGAATTCCGGCTCAGCGGCCAGAGGACGGTCACCACCCACTGGCCTGTCCAAAAGGGGCTGTCCGCTCCCACCCCTCTGCTCCAGCGGCCAGAAATAAGCCCTGCTCGTGACCCCTCCCCGCAACGGGAAAAGCGGCCCGAAAGCCAGGCCCGGCTCCCTCCCTCCTCCGCTGTACTGGTGCCGTGCGAGTGGGCTTTTGGGGAGCGAGGGACGAGGACCCCACACGATCTCTAGAAGCCGGGGCCTGCGGACGGCGAGGGGAGGAAATGCACCCCACCCTGGAGGGCTCACGCTTGGAAGTGAGAAGGGGCTCCGGGCTCGG